AACACAGCTGGNCCAGATCACGGAACCGCAGTTCTATGACAGTACATAGGTAGTGGAGTATCGAATCCCCTAAGCTCGGGACGACTGAGAATGTTGCGGAAATGCTGAGTGGATAATGCCATTACTGCTGTGTCCTAATCCGAAAGATCTCAGTAAAGTAAATAGCAAGATATGGCAGTCAAAGCTGGACGTACATTCAATCGAGAAAGCATTCCCCTACTTGTGTAAAACAGTAGAAAACGAGACCATGGGTGATGCAAAAAGGCAATAAGGCCGACGACGTTGTGGTCTTTGAGAACAAGCTTGCTTGGCAAGCAAATTCACTACGTGCACATCCTCAGTAGTAGTGGGTCATCGTCATGTTGTCCACCACATAACACACTGCGGACTTCACCGCTCTCTTGCTCGTTCCGTCTATCCATCCATCCACCTATACCCCCCCACCAACTCCGGCCTCGCACACTTGAACATCCTCCATGGTGGTCTTCTATCGTTCGGCATGCAACAGCACTACCACACCACACCAGCTCAGCCAACCTCTACGCACTCCTCTCCCCCTCAATCCCGTTCCCGAAACCCATCGACAGGCGCCCCCTTCCATTGAGGACGCCGTGTCGTATCGTATCCGACTCGACCAGCCCTTGGCTCTCTCTTCCTTTCCTCGTTCAATAGGGCCAATTGCCCCTTCCTCCGCGACGGCATTGACAATCGGGAGCCAGTTCAACGAGTACGACTTCAACGGGATCCTCTGCACCGCTCGGTACACTTCAAGCTCCTTATTTTCAAGGCGCCGATGCGAGCGAAGAAATCGAATCTTCTCCACCACAAAGAAAGGGGGGCGAGTTCACCGTGGCCTTGAGTTTCGGAAGAGGCGACATCGAAGAGAATTCGGGTGAGCGATTTGGGTACCATGAACGTTCAGCGCTCGACCCTTGTAGCTCAACAGTCACTGCTTCCTCCACACTGAAGAAGACTCGTCTGCACCTTGTCCACTCGTGGACATTGAACAATGACGAGAACCTCGTCTTTTCAAGATCCCCACTCCGTCGCTTTTACAATGCACTGGAACGAGGAGACTATGTATACGTGGCGTCTGAATGGCGTTCCCGATGATCGATAATGCCGGAAGACCGCGAAAGGGACAAAAAGGTAGCGGGTATCTTCAACAGCCGAGGATGGGTAGTAGAGGCGAAGTTGAGATCGGGTGCTGGCGTGTTGCCACTGCTGAAAA